AAGGCCCTTTTCTCACCAACCGAGGGTCGCCCACGCAAACCAGCAATATCATCGAGAAGGGGAAAGTGTCCGCTACCCGGTGATGTTAAAGGTTTGCGTTGGTGTCATATGGGTGGCGAGAAAAGGGCATAAGAAGGTTTGTTTACAAAAAGCTTGTATGCCCTTTTCACATGTTGTTCTGGATATGCTTAAATCTAACTCCTTGTTTGATGCTATTCAAACTGGAGTAAAATTTGCAAACAATATCATCATGACTTTAAAATTCAGTAATGGATTTTAAATCATTCAATATTTTAAATTGGAATGCTCGATCTCTTAAAGATAATGAAGACGAGCTATTTAACTTTTTGAGAGTTCATAACGTGCATATTGCCGTTATAACTGAAACGTTCCTTAAACCTGACCATAAGGTTAAGAGGGACGCAAATTATTTCATTTATAGAAATGATCGTCTTGATGGAGCCTGTGGTGGCGTTGCCATCATTGTTCATTGACGAATCAAACATAAAATTCTTTCTTCATTTGAAACCAAAATTTTTGAAACTTTGGGAGTTTCTGTTGAAACAAAATTTGTACAACTTACGTTTATAGCTGCCTATTTGCCATGTGAATTTCAGAAACTAAACCCGTCATAGGTCTAAATTCTTCATTATTGGTGATTTAATGCAAAACACGGCTCATGGAATAATTCTCAAAGCAATTCCAATGATAATATTCTGTTTGATGATTGTTCTGCAGGTTATTACACTATTCAATATCCAAACAGTCCAACATTCTTTTCTTCTGCAAGAAATCCCTCAACTATTGATTTGGTCTTAACTGATTCATGTCAACTATGTAGCCAATTGGTTACCCATGCTGACTTCGGTTCTGATCCAGTAACTTTTGAAATATCCCAAGAAATAATTTGTAATCCCAACAGTTCTATTTTCAATTACCATAGAGCTGATTGGGAGCAATATCGAACATTTATGGAATATAACTTCGATCCAAACATTCCTTTGCAAACCAAAGATGAAATTAATTATGCTCTTGAATCTCTGACTACTTCTATAGTTGAAGCAAGAGCTGCCTCAGTACCAAAATGCGAGGTTAAATTCGATTCAATTATAATAGACGACGATCTTCAGGTCTTGATCCGCCTTTAAAATGTCCATAGGAGACAATATCAAAGAACACGCGATCCTGCCATGAAAGTTATCTGGCTGGATTTGCAAAAACATATTAAAAAGCGATTCTCTGCCATGAGGAACAAAACTTTTGAAAATAATGTTCTAAGTTAGACCCGAGTTCCAAACCCTTTTGGAAACTCACAAAATTTTTGAAAAAACCTCAAAAGCCTATTCCAGCGCTTAAAGATGGTGGTAAAATTGTGATCACAAATTTGGAAAAAGCTCAGAAACTTGCTAAGCTATTCGAGAGTTCCCATAATTTCAGTTTGAGTCTTACTAGTCCTCTTGAGAATCAGGTTGCTCGGGATTATCTGAATATTTTCTCTCGGGAAAATATTTTTGATGATTCCTGGGGGACTGATTTGGGGCGAAGTAAGGTCTATAACTAAAAAGTTTCATAATATGAAAGCTCCGGGTGATGATGGAATTTTCTATATCCTCATCAAAAAACTCCTAGAGAGTACCTTGTCTTTCTTAGTAAAAATTATTTAACAGATGTTTCCATTTGGCATACTTTCCTGATAAATGGAAAAATGCAAAAGTTGTTCCAATTTTGAAAAGATTATTTTAAATAGAATGATGCTTCACATCAATACGAACTCAATTTTTGCAGATGAGCAGTTTGGATTTCGCCATGGATTCAACTACTCATCAACTCTTAAGAGTTACAAATTTAATTCGTTCAAATAAATCTGAAGGCTACTCAACTGGAGTTGCTCTTCTAGACATAGAAAAAGCATTCGACAGTGTTTGGCATGAAGGTTTGATTGCTAAATTGAAAAAGTTTAATTTTCCACTGAAATTAGTTCAAAATTTATTAACTGACAGAACTCTGCAGGTAAATTATCAAAATTCCAAATCTGATCGACTACCTGTTAGAGCCGGAGTTCCTCAGGGTAGCATTCTTGGGCCTATATTGAATAACATTTTCACTTCGGACCTCCCTGATTTGCCTCAGGGTTGCCACAAATCTTTGTTCGCTGATGACACAGGCATTTCCGCTAAAGGAAGAAGTCTTCGTGTTATTTGCAACAGACTGCAGAAAAGTTAAGATATTTTATCTTCTTATTTACAAAAATGGAAGATTTCTCCCAACGCTTCCAAAACTCAACTTATAATATTTCCACATAAGCCTAGAGCTTCCTTTTTGAAACCTAGTAGTAATCACATAGTCACTATGAACGGAGTTCCAATTTTCTGGTCAAACCAAGTGAAATATCTTGGATTAGTACTTGACCAAAAATTAACTTTTAAAGACAACATTGAGGGCATTCAAGCCAAATGTAACAAATATATAAAATGTTTGTATCCTCTTATAAACAGGAAATCCAAACTTTGCCTGACGAATAAACTTCTAATATTTAAACAAGTTTTTAGACCGGCCATGCTTTACGCTGTGCCAATATGGTCTAGTTGTTGTACTACCAGGAAAAAAGCACTTCAAAGGATGATTTTGAAGTGGCCTCCCTGGTACAGTACTACCGAGGTACATAGAATTTCGAATGTTGAGACTTTAGAACAAATGTCCAACAAAGTAATGAATAATTTCAGGCAAAAATCGTTGCAATCCTCAATTGCAATGATTAATTCTCTTTGTACTTAGATAAGATTTAGTTTTTAATTTAAAGATTACAATTGTTATACTGACAGGCAGGTTTAAAAAAACCTGTTTAAAATACTGAATTGCCAAGGCGGAAACAATGTAAAAACACTTAGATATATATCATAACAATTAAGGCTAGTGAGTTACTGTAGTAACTGGAGCACCTAGGTTAAAATGAAATGTAATTTATTTTGAATTTGGAACAAATAAAGAGTTAAAAAAAAGCAACTGATGAATGTCACTTTCGACATTCAGCTGCGCTCGTTTTACAGCAGTTGCTGCTTGGCTTACTTATTCAAGTGTGTTGGTTCATGAGTCCAACGGCTTCTGTCTAATTTTGTCAGCTTTGTTTGTAACTCGCACATATAGCGAATTCGTTTATTATTCAGTTCCAACCTGGATCGGGTATCAAGATTGGGTCTGCTTGTCTTCTGACAAACGTCAGCTTGCTCGTTTGTTTTTAAAACCCAGCTCAGATTGAGGTTTGCACTGACAAAAAGTTCGGTTTCGCACTGGGTTGCAACCCCGATAATAAACGAATTCGCTAACAGTCGCGTCTGCCGAGTTGAACTTGGAATGCGTAGGTATTGTTTTCGTCTTCTTTATCGTTTCGTTTTTTCTCATCACCGAAAACTGAGGCACATAAACTTGAGAATTCCATAAGAAATGACTTACACACTTAGTTTTTTTTCCTACCGAGCTCGGCTGTGCAAATCTCGGCAAGTTTCACTGAGATCTCAGCATAAGTGACATTTGATTGCTGAGTTTCGGATAATGCTTAGCTGAATCTCAGCAAACAAATGAAATGTTTGCTGAGATCTCCGTTAAACCTTTTTTTGGCTGAGATTTGCACAGCCGAGCTCGGCAGAAAAAACTAAGTGTGTATGATTATCGTACTACATTAGGTGGTTCTTGTACGCCTTTAGCCTATCCGATTTCCCAAGCGTTGATGGACGTGAGCAAAAAACACGGGCGCAATAATCTGAACGCTGAAGGTGAGAATCCAGTCTGATAAGCGGCCAACACTAGGGACATTAACCCTATAATTTAAGTGACCATATATTAATGATTATTGGGTTTTCCCGGTTCTTTCGTTGAATACTGATTTGATATGAGCAGTTCCACTTCAAATGACGAATCAATCCACCGCAAAGTTTTCAGATTTGCGTGAATAAAATTTGCAATAAAATTCAAAATGGAGAATCTTGAAATAAAATTAAAAATTTGCAATAAATCATAACTCTAAAAATTAATTTCCAATCGAAAAGACATCTAAGATCAAGATTTAAGAAATATATATTCACATTGTTTTTCAATGTATCATCGGTATTAGAATATTTTAACAGAATTAAATTAATAAAGAGATCTTAAGAGGTGTTAGATTGATGATTCAAATCATATTCATCAGGGTACACTTACATAATGCCCACAGAACGCACGAAGATTGTGATTTAATCGTTTTTCTGAGGTTATTGAGGAGTTATTGCAAATTTTAAAAGTAAGTGTTCGATGGCTTTCCTCAGCTGTTTTCACAATGTAAGAATAGTAAAGAAGTCGAACTACTAAAAAATGAGTAAAATCGAAGCGACCTTTGATTACTTTTTTATCCCGTGTTGAGTGAGTAAGTTTGACATATCGGCAGTTTATTTTTATGATTCATAATTTTATAGAAGTTTAACGAAGCTTATTCAATGAAGTAAATAATTATTCCGGAACAAAGCAACAACGATTGTCTACGCAATAATGTATTAATTAAATGCACAAACGCATCTTGCGCTGCACAGATTTTCCGCTCTAGATGATTACACAACCCGCCTGTGTCTGGCGATCAATACACGACGCGACATACCTCTGCTATACTATTACCACCCTTAGCACCCTACCCCCCCCCCCCCCCCCCACTCCCACATGCAATGTCCACTCTTCCCTACAGTTCATTTATTATTATCTCTTGGCAAAGATCCGACCCCAGCTGGTCTGGTGCATCTTCCTTCTGACTACAATACCTACAATGTCGATTGCTGTCTCTTGGGGGATGTGATGAATATTTAAGTAGATGAGTAGTGATTTGATTTGAAAACAAGCTAGGTAAATGGGATGACAAATCTGTGACTCTATGAAGGCCTGGTAAGAATCAAGTATATTTTTTAGGAAAATATCTAATCTGATCTAGGTGATAAGAGCTTGAGGAGGGTAGACAAATTGGAAAAACTAAAAACATTTACCTTCATGTTGTTTTCGACGAGGAACTCGGACGAGCACAGCACGTACACAAAATAGGCCCGGATCAGCTCGAGGGTGGTTTTGCTCTTGAACGCCGCATTCGGATCATTGAAGCTGACGTCCAGCGGATCGCGCTGCGGCGAGCTGGGATTGTCCTGCTGCTGTTGTTGCTGTTTGGCGACATGGACACTACTTGGACTGGCAGTTGCCGTCACCGATCGGAACCGTCGCTGGTGAAGTTGCCCTCCGGCCAAGACCTGGCTAAGATAGGTCAGTGAAGCCTGATACTGATTGACGCTTAGTGCATCACTAAATGGGATACCACGTTGCGAGCTTGAAACCGGGATACTACCGCTGACCACAGATGACGTGGAGGACACTTTTCGCGAGACCAGACTATTGCACCGAGCGACCGAACGCAGAAACGCCATTACACAACTACCGAATATGTACCGCCGACCGTCAGAAAAGAGGTCCTGTCTCACTGCGTTTGACGTTCGGTTTCGAAAGAAACTCGTGGAGAGCGGTGAACAGATAGAGCTTTGGATGACGACGACAACGACGATGGTCAACAAGGGGGGAAACGGATGGAACTGCTGTTCAGCAAAGGGCCAGCACCAATACACTCGCACGAAACCGAAGACCGTCTTTCTTCTTCCCCACACGCGGACTCCGGGGGTGAACAATTTTTGCTAAAACCTGACTGCTGTTCTCTTCTTGCACACACGAGAACGATTCTTCACATTACACAACGAAAATTCAGCGAAATTACGTAAACACTTTTTCCTCTGCTGTCACTTGATTGACCACCTTTGGGACCACAAGCGGTAACCCACGACTTCGATATGAACGATTTTCACACTTCAAAAGCTATCTTTGGTCCAGGAAACTCCGGAAAATGAAAAATCAAATGCGTAAAATGACAGCAGACACAATGTTAATTGACACCGAAGTGATGGAAAAAAATCCGGATTTTCCGCCCTCCTCTACTGGTAAAGGACCCGGTTGCAGGCGGATTTGCTGACTGAACCGGTTCTTTTTGCGATTTTCTGGCAAACAAATTTGGGAATTTTCACTATTATGCACAAACACGGGCACTGACACAGCACAGCACAGGACACTCGAAATGTTGGCTCTGAAAAACGCTCCGTACACGACCGCGGATCTACAGACAGTGAGCGCGACGGCGGCCAGCAAATTTTCATTTCGCTCAGCTGCCTGCAATCCCCATCGCCATCATATCCAAATTCAACAACCCCGCTGCAAGCGAGTGACCAGCGATGGAGAGAGAATTTGAGTGAGTGCCTTTTCTGCAACGGCGAGAGCCGGAGAGGTGCGAAATTTCGAGTGCGTTAGCACGTGAGACCGGCTTTTGTTGAAAGTTGAGAGAATGAGTGCAGACCACGTGCTTTTCTTATGGGTAGGTAAGTCATTTCCTCGGAATTTTTTCAATATTTTCTTGATGGTAATTGGTGCGTTTCTCCTAGAATTCATTAATGACTGCAAAGATAGCTTCAACGGATTTCGGTCAGAACAGAAGGTAAAAGGTAACATCATATTTTTTGTAATCCACGCCCTACGGTTGGCCTTTTAGATAGGTACTTGAGCAAACTTGGTACAGTTTAGTGGGAAATTTAACACGTTAGTTTACCTGCATGCATGCATTATTGTTTTACGATTTGTTTTATGATCATTATTCACCTGTTTACACATCAACTACTGGCAAATCGTCCTACAATTGAACGTAAACAGCCAAATGATTGGATTCCTTGCAAATTGTCTGCAAATTTAACCCCTTTTTTCATCTATTGGTGATGTAACATATATGTAGTAGGCTGCATATGGCAAAAGAAACACGATGTGTGGTTTCAGGGCGGGGCAATTTGAAAGTATGATCAATTACTCTAAGACTGTTTACAACTACCTATTTTCAAAAGAATTTTAGCTAATGAATTTTATAGTTTTCCTTTAACATATGGGTCATTCCATCTGAAGTGACCACGGAAATGTATCGACCCTCTACCTGAGTCTACTTATTTTAGACCAAAGCTAAAAAAAATCCAAAGTTTTGTGCCCCAAACACCAATTTTCATTTTACATATCTCTGAAACCAATAAAGATACAAACAACATTGGGTACCCTTTTTTAAGTATTTTAAACTTACAATCAAATTTTGTGATCATAATTTCACTACAGTGTTGCCAACAATGCGATTTTATCATTTGAAAACTTTGCAAATATCTCAAAATTACGGAAAACATCAAGGGAAAAAACAAAAATCAGTATGAAGCAAGCAAGCGAGGCACCGGTCATTGATTATGATTTTTTGTTCTAAAACTTAGCTATGAAAATAGTATAAATCACCTACCCTCTAGCATGACCATCGTGCCACAGTCCAGTTTGGACCGTAGTTCCCGGGGTAGTTCCTCCATTTTCCTGCTGTGCTTCACTGAAAATTTTACGCTTAGCTATATATATATACAAATGGCGTGCGTCAACAAAGCAGGATGTAGCAAAGCTTGAAGTTTTTTTTACCCATTAGTGAGTATGAAAATACAAATTTTTTGGCTGGTACTACATTCTTAAAATGTGTATTTTTTTCACACATTTTAAGATCTCCAAATTTACACATTTTTTGACAGCTGCATATAAATATAAAACATGTGTACTTTTTTTTACTCATTTATGTGTCTACGCTGGTTACCGTGTATTTGCTTTTTACTGAAGGAAGTGTTACTAGGGTACAGAACTACTTCGGCCTAATCGCCCATTTTGAGCCTATCGAGCAGAAAACTTCAAATAAATCCATGATTTCAGAGTTAACAAGTCAATTATTTGGTACGATATTTTAGTTAACACGTCTTCGGAGTGTTAACTAAAGTAGCCTCCGGTAAAATGTGTAACGACATGTGTGTAAATTGGCAATGTTTGAAAAATCATTTCACAGCAATTTATCGATAGATTTTATATCTATTGATACCAAATGAATCTTAAAAGTATTTTGTTTCGAATGAAATTCGTCAGCAAATAGTTGAGCTATGATTTTTCAAACATTGCAAGTTGCACATTTTACCGAAGCGTGTTCAGAGTTTTAATAAGATACGGAACGAAGTCAATGAGAACGCGTGATATATAGGTTTTCACCCATTATTCCCAAAAACAAAAGAAGCGCTCCGACCGAATCAAATTTTATCTTCATCCGATAGGCCGAAGTGAATTTATTAGCGTTTCAATGCGTTAGGCCGAGTTTGGCGTCAAGAAGCAGTGTTAGACTTTTTACAATATCTCAAGGATTGGTTTTTGTTTATCAAATCTTACGGTACATACGGCAAGGTAAATAAATTTGGAAGCCATCAGTAATAATAACATTCCGTTTACCGTTTACCAATATACCTGTAAATTTTCTACCTTGTTTGACTCTTATTCCTCTTCGATCCTTATATGGACCCTACCCGAGGTAATCCTTCTTGGTTATCGATTTGGAAAATTCCTCTTCGATCCTTCAGATTCTTATAGTAATCTGCTTCGAGGTCGATTTGGATAAAAGTTTTACTGCCGCCATGGCACCTAAGCGCAAAAGAAAGGGACAATCTCTTGATCCCCCTTCTGATTAAATTAATTTGAGCAATCCATTTTATTTGCCCACGGATGATGAGCATGATCCATCATCCAGGAAAAATTCTAGTAAACTTTCCCGGCTTAATTCCAAGAAGGAAAAGATTCCCCCTATTGTGATAACCACTTCCAATTGGGATGCTCTTCGCACGGAACTTTTGAACCTCGTGAAATTTAAGTTTTCACTGCAAATTGGCCGTCGGGGTGAATGCCGTTTATTGGCTGAAACCTGGACAGATTCAAATGTCTTCTCAAGTATCTTACTCAGAAGCAGCATATTTTTTTACTTACGACACCAAAACTGAACGTGTGTTCAAGGTTGACATGAAAGGACTGCCCAGTGGTGAATCCCTGGTTCAGATCAAAGATGAACTGGCAAAAACTGGCAAAAGTTGTGCCAGTCCAAGTAATCAAAATGAAAATGAAATCTCGTCCTGGCGATTCGCGCAACGGGATTTCTAATGATTTTTATTTAGTTCACTTCAAGTCTAGTGAACTAAACAACCCTCAGGCCTTAGGAAAAGCTAGCCTTATGCTCCATGTCCGAGTGAAGTGGGAACACTTCAGGAAGACTGGAGGAAATTTCTCACCCAGTGCCGTAAGTGCCAGGGATGGGGTCACGGAACTAGAAATTGCTACATGCCAGCTAAATGCATGAATTGTGGTGATTCCTCTCATGCAAAGGACGACTGTCTTGTGAAGGAAGATCCTAAGAAATTTAAATGTTCAAATTGAGGTGAAAACCATAAATCTAATTTTTGGGAATGTAAGACTCGCAAAGCGATCCTACAATCTCTTTCTAAGCGATAGATAGGAAACGCTCCACGTTTCCGGACAGGTACAAATTCATCTCCTGTTAACAACGATCAGCGAGAAACAAATTCTACATTCGTACCCGTAGGTACAAATATCACCCCTGCTTCAAATTTTTCATCTATACCTGGTCATCTCGCTGCTAACAATGTTCAGCGATTAAATGGAGCTACCATGCTGCTATTGTAGCTGGTAGAAATCAAATTACTAGCCAACGTAACTCTAACGGAAATCTGGAAATTTTGACTTAGGAAGCATTACTGCTCCTAAAATGGAATTTTTACAGAAATCATAAATTGACATGATTACTGATATGCTTAAATCTAACTCCATGTTTGATGCTATTCAAACTGGAGTAAAATTTGCAAACAATATCATCATGACTTTAAAATTCAGTAATGGATTTTAAATCATTCAATATTTTAAATTGGAATGCTCGATCTCTTAAAGATAATGAAGGCGAGCTATTTAACTTTTTGAGAGTTCATATAACGTGCATATTGCCGTTATAACTGAAACGTTCCTTAAACCTGACCATAAGGTTAAGAGGGACGCAAATTATTTCATTTATAGAAATGATCGTCTTGATGGAGCTTGTGGTGGCGTTGTCATCATTGTTCATAGAGAAATCAAATATAAAATTCTTTCTTCATTTGAAACCAAAGCTTTTGAAACATGGTTCTGTTGAAAAAAAAAAATTGGATAACTTACGTTTATAGCTGCCTATTTGCCATTCCAATGCGTAGGCCAGCAAAATAATTTTCTCAAGGGTGACCTACAGAAGCTTACCCGTCATAGGTCTAAATTCTTCATTATTGGTGATTTTAATGCAAAACACCGCTTATGGAATAATGCTCAAAGCAATTCCAATGGTGATATTCTGTTTGATGATTGTTCTGCAGGTTATTACACTATTCAATATCCAAACAACCCAACATGCTTTTTTTCTGCAAGAAATCCCTCAACTATTGATTTGGTTTTAACTGATTCATGTCAACTTTGTAGCCAATTGGTTACCCATGATGACTTCGGTTCTGATTACCTTCCAGTAACTTTTGAAATATCCCAAGAAATAATTTCTAATCCCAACAGCGCAGCCCAAGGCTGAAAGCCTCCCTAATAAAGATAAATAATAATAATAATAATCCCAACAGCTCTACTTTCAATTACCATAGAGCTGATTGGGAGCAATTTCGAGCTGCCTCAGTACCAAAATGCGAGGTTAAATTCGTATCAAGTATAATAGACGACGATCTTCAGCTCTTGATCCGTCTTAAAAATGTCCGAAAGGAGACCATATCAAAGAACACGTGATCCTGCCAGGAAAGTTATCTGGCGAAATTTGCAAAAACAAATTAAAAAGCGATTCTCTGCCCTGATGAACAAAACTTTTGAAAATAATGTTTCTAAATTAGACCCGAGTTCCAAACCCTTTTGGTAAAATGTGGGTTGTGCTTAGTAACTGGGATGGAAATTAGATCAAAAACCCTACGGGTTCAAATTTTAGATTAATTTCAAAAGTATCTTGTTACTTGAAGGCTAAAAGATTCGTGAAATTAATTTTGATATTAAATATAGTTAATGAAATATTTTCAATGTAAAATAGGAGCTCATGTGTGTATTTGTGTCACTCTCAGCGAATCTAAACACATAAAGCAACCCCCGATACAGACAAAACGGTTGCTACGACCACCATGACAAACTCGTTCTGTAACATAGCTCGATCGGAGTAGAAGAAGGATAATAATATATTGCTTGCCTGCTATGTTGCAATATTCGGCTTTCCAACAATTTTTCCTTCTACCTCCCTGAGTGAGTTGTGTCACACGGGCTGCTTGTCATGTAATAAAAGGACGAAGATTGTATCATTATTGCTTTCCACTTCTGACATAGCGTTATCGTTCGGTTCGTTGATCGCTTGTCATTTTGTCATTTAAAAACATTTTTGATTCCTTGGTACCTCTATCACTCACCCAGCTGGGAGCTTTGAACAAATAGAACTGCGAAAAGTTTGATCAAATCTAATGCTCCGTAATGGTGTGTTATACTTTTCGAGATAATGACGACAAAATGCGCCAAAAAATTTCTTCCTGTGTATAAATAACGTAAACGTAAATCGCTACCAATTCTACAATACAGCATCTGCTATACGTCCAGACCTCTCAAAAGAATCGATACGAAAGAATAGATCGATCTCCCTCTCGCACATCTGCATCGAAGAACAATATAGTGGTTGGCTTCACCAAGTAGTGGCATAGTGGCACAAAATTTAATAATTGCCAAAAAGGGGATGTAGTAGCCCGCCGAAATACAACACCAATAAAAGGGCTCCCCTAATAAAAATTGTATGGTTAATTTGCTTAACGACGTGTTCTGGGTATCATCCAAACCATTTATGGAATAGTTCAATGATTTGGGTTATCGTTTGTTTATGGTTATTTTTTATTAGGGTCGGCTCGGCCATAGACGGACACATCAATGGGAGTAACTGTCCGGCAAGGTAGGACGCATTACAGGTTGCAAACACATTTGAAAGGTAACATGCACAATGCAGTTTCTTTGCATACATCTTGAGGCCATCATCTCTGGAGTTGGAAGAGTACTCCGTTCGGGTCATTTCAAGTACCTCCATACCCACAATCGAACGACAGGAGGTCGTCATCAGGTAATCGGCTAACTTGTCTAGTGAGACCCCACAGTGTTGCTTATACAGCCTTGCTTGCAGTGCACATAATCTGCAAGGTCCGATCAGGTGGGACGGATGAGAGTGAAACGCAAATCGGAAAAGGCCTTCATCAGGTAAAGTCTATCACCAACAACATCTGATGACGTCATGGATCGACTAACGCTGTGTTGCCTCGTCAGAGGACCTTTTATTATAGCTTTAACTCCAACGAATGGAGATAGAAGGATCAAGTCTTCAGTATACTTACATATTTGATTGTTTAGTGCAACTTTCAACAGTATACCAACATTCTATATCGAAGCGAATTAATTTTCTCCTAAACTAAATTTATTGTTTATTGGATTGGCAATATTCATGAGGAAAAACTGTGGTTGCCTTAGAATGAGACTGTTAACATTATTCAAAGACACATAACTATGAAAATTCTTCGAAAAGATTTAATTATTTGAATGTGTGATTTTGATACTTTTCCAAAGAATTTTATTTAATTTTTATTCGACTTTTAGATCTGCACGCATAGAAATGATTACCGACTTCGATAATTTTTATCATACTTTAAACAGCGGTACGTTCAGTCGGTAGTAATTTCTAAGTATGTAAAAAGGCATTTATTGAGTAATTAAAATTGACCACTTTGTCAAGCAGTTTTGGCGTGACTTTCTACCAGCGATTTCACAATACTGGACCAACTAATTTCTATTTTTTTATGAAACACACAAATGTTGGCTACTTTTCTCGCGGTTCTAGAAGAAAAAATCTCAAAATAATGTTTTATTTCAAAGTTTGAGTGGTAGAAAACGTCATTGCCTGAGAAGGGACATACATACATGAATTCAATTAACCACTTCATTCGAGCAAGTGGTTAATTGAATTCATGTATGTATGTCCCTTCTCAGGCAGAGATCTTGGAATATGTTCGAAAGCTCAGAGTGTTGAGAATGGATTCGAGCAGTTTAAAATGACGTTTCTTACCACTCGTGCCACTCTGCCGTAGAACAATATTTATAATTTTATCTTCTAGAACCTTGCCAAAATGAGGTCGTATGTAAGCTATCCTTAAAAATTCAGCAAACAGCTGCCTCTTTTCCCCTTAAATCTCTGGTAGAAGGTCACCCCAAAACTGTTCGACTATATGAAAAAGAATACTCTATGTTTAGTCTTTCACTTTACAAAAATTGGCCTAGTGAATTTCTGCCTAATGACCCATTAGGCCTAATGGCTATGCACCGCCGAAAAAGCAGTACGGAAATTGCTTCTGGCCATCACTTTCTAATCGGTGAGATCAACTTTCGCATTGCGTGGATTCAGTGGTGGGAGGAGAGACTCAGGTGGTGATTCAACACATGGCAACTAGAAGATCTATCGTTCGCAGAAGAACTTGAGACCTGAGTCGTGAATGTTCCAGAAGGTGGCAGAGAGATAGTCGAGTTTCGGGATTTTAAACTCGAACCCCAACCAAGCAAGAACCCATCAGTAGACTCTTATGGATGGGACATCCAAGTTTTGGTATTACGTAAACCATATTTTCTGAACAAAACATGTAACTTTTAGTCGAGCTTTTAGTGCACAGTGTAAAATTCAGGTATAGTTTATAATCGATTCTAAAGCCTAGTATACAGATCGAAGCGAAACGAAAATTGAAGCACGAGAAAAATCATGAAATTTCGCTAGCGAAAAAGGTTGTGAAAAAATGTTTGTGGAACATTTTCCAGTTTCCTTTTTTCGCAGTGTACAGTTCATGTGAAACGAAATTGATCAGTTTACACCTCCGGTGAAGTGAAAATCTGACAGATACGCTCTTTCTCGAAACGTCAACTTTTCGCTTAGCTGCATGCGCGAAAAAAAAAAAAAATAAACGTAAGCGAAAAAGATACGATCCACAAAATTAGATTTCGCTGTTTACAGTTCAAAGCGAAGCGAAATATTTGCCAATTGCGTTTGTCACGCAGGTGAAAAATGTAGTATTTTGTATGAGATTTTCGCTTCGCTTCGATCTCTATACAGGCCTTAATGGAGAACTCATTTCTGTAAAAAAAAATCCATATGGGACTGTTATGCTTTTATGGGCATTATACGTTACACATAGTTTCGGAAGTAATGCGCTGTATGTTGAGACTAGATGAGACTCACCCTAGTGGCTCAACCAAGACTCTAGCTCAGTAGCATGAGACCCCTAAACTGTGTCACAGGGCCGGCATGCTACTGGGTAATTCGGAGGGGTACGCGGAACAAACTGTGCAGAAACTGTGGGATTTCTTAAGTGATGGTGAAATTAATTGGAAGCTAAAGTGTGGGTGGAAAAAGTCTAGAAGTTTATTCAAATGGAATTATGGTGCGGATGGTTTTATTGGGCTATTATGGGGTGTGTTCTATGGGTTTCTGCTTCCTTGGTACATACCGTTGGTGTTTGCTGGACGATAGCGAGCGCTCGATGGTGGTGATTGTATTGGGCAGCTGTTGTTTGACGGCGATGGCAGTCCGTGGCTGGATCACTCCGTCGACAATGGCGGATCGGTGTCTTCAACTGGTCTGTAAGATGGCGCCTGGTGACTGGAGCTGTGGTCACTACAATGGCTTGGGTTTGCGCGTTGCGATGGCGGTTCGCAACCAGGGAATGTAGCAATCCCTGTGCTGCTGCCGAAGTAGCCTTTTCGGTGCCAACGGCGTCTCCCTTAGTTGGCGAATATCAGCTGACCGTGATAAGGCCACCTTGGTCGAGCCGAGAATGGTCTTCCTCCTTAACAATTAGGACTTCCGAGTCCGAGGATGCTCTCCTTTCTGGCAATTATTAAGCCGGAGAGTTGAAAGTCCTTGACATTTAGACCAAGACAGTCGAGACTGACTTGGTCGAAAAGTGCCGATCGTGAGGATATCCGTGGAATAAATCGAAAAGGTCCTAAAGGACAAATGGTTGTTTAAAACCAAGCCAAAATCAGATTTGGTAAAATTAAGTCACCTGAACATAAAACGGTCATTCACTGTACTTTGGTTCACTTTTGTACTCCACTCACATCTTCTAGGCACAACAGCCGGTTTACTTCTGGGCAATGGTTGACCATCCCAGCTATCAAAAGCACTCTTTTTCCCATCCAGTTTTCAATTCGTTCCTTATTTCCTCCATGTTCCTTCCTTGTAGCTTATCACCATCCATCCATATCATCTCCTTCGCCTATTGAGTTTTTCTACCACAGTTGATCATAACACGTTTTCGATCCTGTCACACCCAATTAAGTTTATAAACAAATATCAATTTCAAACTACCTAATAACACAAATTTATACATTTTTCAATAACAGCAATTTTACCTACAATCCTACTAATCCTACTAACACAACACTGACACTAAACAAACACTACAGTTTCCTAAAATAACATGCACAAATTAAAACCTAGGACATTGTAACTAAACGGTTACATTGTATAACGTGCAGAACGAGCGTAAAATCTATTGTGACTAGTGAAATTTTCCGGTTTACAACCATTTACAACTGTACCGACAATACTAGCACGTATTTGAGAAAAAAAACTTTGTAATCTTTGGTAGGTGTGCACATACCACCCTTATTTTACACGACATCTATCGGAAAAAAAAAGCTTGAAACGAAGTATGTATTCACTGTGCCACCCCTCGTTAAAAACATCGATGTCGCGCGAGGTTCTGCGATGATCATGAAGTTCATTCGCTTTGAAGATAACTGTTGGTAAACAAAGGCATCCATTCTTCGTTATTTCTTTACTACTCGTAAACATTTAAGTGGACTATTTAAAAATAGTGGAACAATGAGTCGCTTAACCGACCGGAAAGAACGGTTCAATTCCCTGAACGAACTTACCGGTCTTGCTCAGTGCTTACTGGATAGAAACATTCTAATCGACTTACGGAACGAGTCTTCGGTGGCCGGCAAAATCACCAACGTCGACGGGTGGGTGTGCGATTTGTTATCCGTCAGATAAAAATTGATAAATCATTATGTATGTATTATACTCTTCTAAAATTCTTCAGCTTTATGAACATTTCGATGGAAAATGTGGTGTTAATTGATCAGCTTGGGAAGCATTTCCCGATGGAGGAGTTTATGATCTATCCGCGGTACATTCGTTACATACACATTCCAGAATCGGTGAGTACATACTATAGTTTGGTTTCTTGCTCAGAACAGAATTTGCTAAAATCCGTTTGTATTAATTTCCTCTAATGGAGGCTAAGTACCTAGATTGATCCGGAAACCGTAGACGTTTAATTATACCAAAAAATTGTTGTTTGGTCTAGTGTTACAAACATAACGGGTAAGCATGACAGTGAAATTGCTTGTCAACAGCTGATTAAGCTCTGCTTTGAAAGTTATTCATTGCGTCTGCGTTTACAAATACTAACGACGAGGCAGATATTATACTAAAAAAACATCCACCATACACTACATCAGGAGTTCGAATCACGTTAAACCTAGTTCCTGCAAACTTGTACTCAGCTGCCAATTTTTCACAGCCTGCTTTCGGGTCGCTATTCGGTCGCGATAAAAATACATACGTGCGTGTGTTTGCTGTTGTTTAGAAACATCCTTGGGAAGTTTTTCAAACAACAGCGAAGAAGAAAAGTAGGTAATGTCGCGCCAGTGCCATATCATATAACATTTAAATTAGTAAACATCTTCAGTTGTTGTTTTCCTGTGATTGCAACATAGACGTGAATGCAGGTTCACGTTAAATGTGAGACTTGATCAGAGCTGAAAGAAGTGACAGTGATAAGATTCAGTATAGGAGCCTGGAACGTGTAGTGAATTAGAATGGTTCTTAATTGAATGAAACAAGTGTCGCGAAACTAAGTATCCTGTGTCATTGAATATAGTGATTTTTTTAGACCCAGCCTTGGGGTGTCTGCAAGTGACCCTTTACAGATGCCAGAGCATCGCACAAGAGATTAGTGGAAACAAAAAGTTTAATTTGTTAGCTGGATGAAAATTTTGTAGCAGGTATTTCCATCCCAACACATTGAAGAGTAAAGTGTTACGTAAACGCAAAGTTCTCAAAAGAGCAGATAGGAACAGTGAACAACGTGAGTATTGGCACACATATTAACATTACATTGTTTGAATCGTTAGATCATTCACGAAAATACCGCTTTGCTAGGTGGATGTTTTTAATAATGTTCACTTTTTCTAGTAATTTGTTAATGATCTTTCGAGTTTTTAACATAGTTCAAAGGTGAATGAAAACATTACATTACATTAAATTCTATTTTTCTTTCGCGAGTATCATTTTTGTTTTGATTTTGTCGTCATTTAGGATGAGTACATAAATTTCAATACAACCTTTGATGTTTTTTTTGCGATAAATAGTGTTGCAATTAACCATTTTGTCAAGCTTCTGCATTAATTTTCCATCAAATGTCACTGATGTTGTTTATTTATTCATTTCGTCAAGCCAATGTAGACTACATACAATGATTTTTACAATGTTTACTTACATGCTATGCATTATTTTTATTCTGTTTTAGCTTAGTTTTTATTTGCTGCTTGGACATAGTTATGTCAATAGTTCCACAATCCAAATTATACAGGCACATCATTCGATTGATTAGGCTATTTTTGCATAGTTTGTTCTGCAAGATTATTCAGAAAATAAATTCCGTGTTCTAACATATCGAAAAGGTGTGTACAAGTTTTATTGTGCGAGAATTTGATGAAGAAAAGCATTGCAAATTGGCGGCGCTCCTTAAGTGTTTGTATATTGATGAGCATGCAGCGCGCTTCATAAGATGGTAATGGAAATGCAGTCCAATTCAAGTTACGTAAAGCATATAAAAGTTTTTGGACAGATTCTATGAATTCTTCGTGTATGGAAAAGTATGAATTCCATACAAGGTGACAGTATTCTGTTTGCTTTACTAATGATAGTATTATAATGTTCTACAAAAGTTAGTTTGGAGTCTAGGATATCACCTAGATCTCTTAAAATTTTGCATTTTTCTACTATTTGGTTGCCTAATGATATTTTAAACTGTAGTGTTTCAATTTTTCTGCTAAATGCAATTGCGGTACATTTTTTTACGTTCAGTTGACTTTTACTACACCATGTGTTGAATATATTGATTCCATTATGGAATTCTTCTGCATCGCTAGAATTACTTATTTCCATGAAGAGCTTTATGGCGTCTGCATATACAAGCAGTTTTATTTTTTTTTAAAGTATGTAAGTGGTAGGAAATGTCCTTTATGCACAAAATAAAAAGAAGTGGACCTAAATGAGAACCCTGGGGTACCCCAGAGGTGACTGAAATTGGTTCTGAAAGTTTATTTTGAAAACGGACTATTTGTTTACGATGTGTAAGGTGACATCCATCGGAAACTACACATAATCTGTTTTCCGTTAATTGCTCACAGAGGGCAGTGCAGTGTTCAACATGTCGGGTACCTCTATACATGCATTTAGGTATAAGATCCTGAATATGCATCAAAAACGTATTATCTTCACTTAAAAAAAATCACACAGCGCCATCTGTGTTAAAAATATCCTAGTCTTAATGGTTTATTTACGATCACACGACCAAAAAAAAACGAACGAAGAAAAAAATCGCGTTGTTTTTCCAATTTTTTCTAGAACAAAGCTGTTTATTTATGCTAATATTACAAAAATATGGGCCACCACTTTCATAGCAAACATCAGTTTTGATAGAAACGCAAATGAGACTAGCAAAGAGCGGCAGTACACCGATTTTTTAGTATGGGGCTGTTCATAAACTACGTAGACAGTTTAGGAGGGGGGGGGGGGTTGACAATTATCCACGGCCCATACAAATTTAAATGTTTTTGTATGGACAATTGTCTACGCAGGGGGAGGGGGGTTCAAGAATCCCAAAAAAACTGTCTACGTAGTTTATATACAGCCCCTATCATCAAAATCGTTTAAAGGGTTAGGCCGAAAAAAGAGTCGATTTCGCAATTTATTTTTGGCGAACAGAGACACTTTAAAAGAATGTGGTTTTCAGCATTTTATTGAAAATATTTTAAATAAAATTTTCCTAAATTTTGGTTTTTGAAATATGCAGCGAGGTAGCGCTGCAGTCGTCTAAGTGATGGCATCCCCGGCGTGGAGCGGTTTGCGGGCGGTAACAATTTGCAGGCGGAGGTACACGTTATTTCAAAATTACCAAAATTTGAGTAGAATCCACCCAGATCAGTCAAAACTGAATCTACCCAAAAATGGGTAAACTATGTTGGGAGTGACAAATTGACAAATGGACAACATCGATATGAATCCGATCGACTTTGTTCATTTGTCAACTTGTCACTCCCAACGTAGTTTACCCATTTTTGGGTAGTTTCAGTTTTGACCTGAGTACTGCCGACTATAGATACTATAGATTCCATAGATAAGCGGAGGAAAAGTATAATGTAGCCAAACGAACTGTCAGTTAGTGTAGCCAAACGAGCATGACGTTATCATGGTGTTGTTTGAGGAAGAAGTATTGTAATATTATGAGCACAAAACGCTTTCCACACTCCACATTCCGATTTATTTCGCGGACAACGGAAGAAGGAAAGATAATGCAAACTATTCCTCGATATATTTTTGCAAAGATTTGCTTTGCACTTCATTTCAGGCGTAACATTTGATAACGGCACAAAAGCATTTGTAAACAAACTTTCTAAGGCCCTTTACACGCTAACCAAAGTACGCCCACGCAAAACAATACCACTTTCAAACAGCAGGGAGAAACACTTAAGCGGTCTTTGCAAGCTCGCTCCAAGAGGTCACTTGCAGAACTCTTAAAAAACACCGCTTCATCTTCCCAAACCACCCCAAAAAGCAAAAACACATACTCCATTTTGCCAGATGATGATCAGGGCTCTGACTCAGAGGTTGAGGAAGGTAGTCATAAAGAAAGAAAGTGTTCCCGGGTATAAAACCAATTGTCCCGTATTCTTTAGACTCTAACCTATCATTTAAGACCAAAAAAATCCATTTTTTGAACCCGCTAGCAGTGGCTGAGATTTGTCATTTTCATCGACAGACTTTCGCGCGATGTGGACAAAATTGACAGACTTGCTCCTCAAAATAAACCTTCTTCAAAATCTCATTCATTTTTCGTCAATGACAAAGATTCACCTGGTAGCAAAAAGTGTGATATCATGCATTCTGTGTTACATTATTGATATCAAAGCAGTTCATGACGTAGATGCTTGTTCGCTTTAATGGCTCCATGTAATTGTGTTGCTCAAGTCATTTAATTTCGCTATTAGTTTATTTGTATATTGAAAAATTCAACTGACAATTATTGTCTAAATGAATAAAACTTAATCTAAATAGTTACGGTCAACAGTACGGAAATGGCCAAGTAACCGATGACGAAACACGTCAGCTGATACATTGAAGTCGAACATATAAAAGAAGTTGTTGAATTGCCGGCTAATTGCTCGAATTGGCTCGTGTTGTGTATAATTTCGGCGCCGTGGTTCCAAAAACAGAAAGTCGCGTAGACGAAGAGATCTCTCAGGGGCATACATATTTAGCTAAGACAGCAGTGTTAGACAGTCAATGTCACCCGTAAGCAGCTTTCCAGCGAACATAGTTTGAGCGACCGTCCGTCTCAACTCTAATGGTTCGATTCCCAGGAGACGGCAACGCTCCTCGTACGGTGGCAAGTTCGTTGGGTCACGCCAGTTGAGGAAACGAAGAGCATATCTCACAAACTTGCGTTGAACGGATTCAATTCTAGTGATCCAGCTAGCATGGAAAGGGCAGCAAACAACTAAACTTGACTCCAATAAGGATCGCACAAGCGAGGAGTAGAGTGACCTGAGGCATGGAACTAGTCGGCAATTTTGAAAATAAAGCCCAATTCTCGATGAACATTTCAAATGGTCCTATCTGCTTTGATCGATTCTCTTCATCGACTTTCTCTTTTCATAACCACTGCTATGCAAACAGATTTCGCGCTAATTCTACCACATAGTTTGATAAAGGAGGTTCTTATCTAGCGTTCAAAACGTCAAATACAACAGGGAAAGGTTTTGCAGCTGAGTTATTAACGAAAGAGAAAGTCGATGAAGAGAATCGATCAAAGCAGATAGGACCATTTGAAATGTTCATCGAGAATTGTCGATTAGCTCTGGAGATGAGGTCATTGGATTGGAGGTGGATTCTGAAAGTGAGTCTGCAGTCCAATACATGCCTTGCAAAGTTATAGCAATTTTTAATTTAATTTTACCCTATTTTTGACAGCATATAGGGGAGAAGGTGACACAATATCAACCACTCTTTTTAAAGCTTAGACTTTGTACTATAAAGTAGTGAAGGTTTGGTTAGCGCCAATTAGTAAATAGGGTCACGTTGAATGTTTGCCGTTTTGCCATTTTCTATACAAAAACGAGCCAAGCTGGTCAAACTGCTACAAAATTTCACAAGCCACATTTAAAACATTAGCAGTTAGTAGCCTATTCACTCATTTATGAATTGGCGCTAATCAAACCTTCACTTTTTTTTTGTACAAAGTCCAAGCTTAAATTGGAGTAGTTGATATTGTGTTTCGGTTTGCCATCTTCTTCCCTATATGCAGTCAAAATAGGGAAAAGTATAGTTGAAAAGTTCTATAACTTAGCAAGGAATGCACCTAGCTGCATACTGTCTTCAGCAAAAACATGTAGTTACACTTTGTTAACATTTGTTTAGAACATTATTAGCTTGAAAAATTGTTATATAACAAGTTAATAATAAAATCCTAAATTTAAAGGCACACTTACCACACATCTTGAAAATTATTAGGCATAGAAGATTTGTATTTTCAACATTGATTAGTTGATTAGTTCGACAACTTTGTGCAAGAAAGTACCCTCCTTCTATCTCTTTAGGGGGAAAAGTTTGGTTTATATTTTTTTTTATAGTAGGCCATGATATTTTTTTAAATTATAAGATTGTGGGAGATACTTATGTGAACAATTACTCTTAAGACAATTTTTTGATTAAGTCAATAGTTTATACACAATTAAATTAAGTTCGTGATTTTGCCATCTCCTCACTGTGCAATTGAGCTGTCCAATAGAGAAACCAATCGAGCATATCACGACCAACAACAGAAAAGAGCACATCAGTTTTTGTGAACAAAACTTCGGAAACCCCTTTCTCGTGACTCAAGGCTCGCCTACGCAAACAAACACCGATGATGCTGTTAATTTGCGTTCGGTTGGCGAGGAAAGAACTATTAAAGTTTTGTCTATAAAAGTGGATAGTACATTTTCAATTGTTGGTCTACAATATATTGGTTAGGTTCTGCTTTTCGATAGACCGAAATTCTATCCGCCAGACTATAGATATAGCGAATATAGACTTACCATGTACGAGAAAGGCAAGTCGACAGTGAGCGTTCATAAGGATTGATGTCGCAAACGTAAAAGTGGCTTGTTTCGTAAAGGTATCGTAATTCAATGTCTATCCATGTAAGGTTCCTAAATGTGTCCTAGGTATAAATAATACAATATTACTGGACTCCTAAAATTTTCCAAACTTTTTGTTTCGTTTTGCCAAAAACGGAACATATCAAAAACGGAACGTGCTAAAATCGGAACGTGCCAAAAATGTACACTACTGTATCACCATCCCTACTTTAGTTACTATTCTTATAAACATTAATTTCCCTAAGGGGTCCCCCTTAGCTCAGTCGGTAAAGGCGCAGCTATAAATTTAAGGTTTAGGCATTTTTCAGGTTGAAACATTTCTTGACTTCCCTGGGCATAGAGTAAACGATTGTACCTGCCACACAATTATACTATGTAATGCAAGAATGGTACAGGTTTAGAATGCTGTCAATTAACAACTGTGAAAGTGCTCAAAGAACACTAAGTTGAGAGCCGGCGTTAAGTACTAGTGGGGACGGTTTATACGAAAAAAGAAGCAGAAGAAGATGTTCATTCATTGCAATAGAGATAAGCGATGTTTTCATTCACCTTTGTTAGCCAGTAAATGAAAAAAAAAATGCTTTAACCTGTGCAAATATTTCTTCCAGCCACTGTGCATCGAGAAGAGGAACGACGGCAAGAGAACACAACACTCGCCAGTCCGTCGCGACGTCGCGAATGCTCCAATTTTGGTACATGACCATACAAACGAGCGTGTAAATAAAAAAAACCCCCGTCGTCTCGTTTGAATGGTATTGGTGTGCAAAAAGTAAAACCTGAAGCACGCGGCGACAATGACGGCAAAAACCACATCAGTTGTTTTGCGACTTGGGCTCAGTGCGCTACCCGCGGAACCCTTCGGGAATTTGAACAACAGCACCTCTCGTGCACTGCTCTACCTTTGTGGTGGCTTCGGAGGTACTAGCAGCTTACGGGGTAAAGTAGATCACTTCCGGCGGATTCGGCAGCATCAGTGCATTCGGTACTACTCGAGATACTCGGCCAATAAAATCATGACCGGCACGGATACGTTTCGCTTTGCGGACTATGATTGTATTGGGTTCGATTTGGATAATACGCTGTTGCGTTATCAGGTCGGCAATGTAATAGAGCTCGAGTATGGAATCATGTCCAAATTTCTAGTGGAAGAACGAGGATACTCGGGCAAATATCTACTGCAGCCTCCGGATTTGGATTTCCTGCAGAAAGGTTTGATCATAGATTTCCAACGAGGAAACATCCTGAAACTTGGCCCGGATGGAACGATTCATCAAGCCACACACGGAACCAAGAAGATGGCCGAGGCGGAAATTATGGCCTATTACGGAGATGAGAAAAAGTGGGAAGTTACCAATGAATACTGTGAAAATATGTTGGTCGCCTGGAACGGACCTCTTTCGGAGAAGATCCGAACGGTGCTAGATTACTTCGATATCTGCTCTACGCTTCTGTTCGGTAGAATTATCGATACCCTTGACGAGGAGGCTCATGAAAGAATAGGCAGTTACAACATATGGCCGGATATACTGGATGCACTAGTCAACATGTACTCTCGGGAACACTTTGGCCGAAATGTTGGAGGCTACTTTGAAGCCTTGAAACAAAATCCCGAAAAGTATCTGCAACGTGCATCTCCAAAACTAATTGCATGGCTTCGTGAGATGAAGAAATCCAAAACTACGTTCCTTTTAACTGGTTCGCATATTGATTTTGCTAATTATACCGCGTCGTACGCACTGGGCCCAGATTGGCCGGAATTGTTTGACGTAGTGGTTGGGTTTGCAAAGAAACCTGGTTTCTTCACTGGTGCCAAACCGTTTGTCCAATTGGAAGGTACGGTTGAAACAGATCCACTGACTCCTTCGCAGCTGGAACGGAACCATATGTATTCGCAGGGCAACTGGCGTGACCTGAGTATCCTGTTGCAGCGCCTATCGCACAAGGAGCATCCACGTTATCTATACGTGGGCGATAATCTTATCCAAGACGTTTATACGCCGTCTAAATTTACCAAAGCTGACACCGTTGCGATAGCGGAAGAAATGGCCGCGGAAGGCATGAAGGATCAGCCCCACTCCCATCCCGATGCATGTTACCTTCAGTCGAAATTCTGGGGATCATACTTCGTCGCCGGTTCCGATCCACAACTGGAGGAACCCTCGCTATGGGCAGACCTGATCAAACGATACGCTAAGATTTGCGTACCGAACATGGATGAGGTGGCAAAGTATTCGTTAGATCATAGCTACAATAGTTTTACGGAAAGTGAAAGCTGTGCCGACGGTTACTACCCGGCGGAACCGATGACGCTGGCCAATTAGGATCAGATCAACTAATTCCGGTATGTAGTTTTCAATGATATTTTAGTTTTATTTCATACAAGCGTGCAAGGGTTGTCTGATGGTGATTCATAGGTGGTGTCGAAGTGTAAAACAAACTGTTATTTTATATCAAGTCTCATCAAAACACAAACCTTCATCCACTAAAAATAAACTTGAAAATGTTCAGAGTTGCGAGGAAATTCTATACTAATATCAACATGAAGCTTTAGTGCGATAATTTATTGATTGGCGAAAATTCTGAAGAGGATAGATTGAGTTTCTTACCAAATGAGTTCAAATTTCGAAGGCTAATCAGGACCCAATTTGAAACTGTTTGAGCACTGTGGAGTGAAAATTTAAAATTTTGCATTAGTCTAGTTGAGCAAGAAAAACAGGTTCGACAATATGAACTGATCGCAAATGTCAGTAACTGTCATGTCACGTGTTGAAAGAACGACAGAGATGGTAAACATTTCATTGTCGCCAGACCTGTTGTACAACATGCTCTCCAAATTTTACCTGCTTCAAAAATAGAGTAATTTTTTTTTCGTAGTTGGTTTGCTACTCGGATAGCAAATTGTTCTTAAGTTTTTTTTTTACTAACGGTAAGCATGCCAATGATTTCACTTATGAGCGTAGGATAATAGTTCTGGATTTTATTCCAGATGGGAAATGTACCAAAATCATCTAGATGTATTATAGAAGCATTTTACACAGTTTTGATTGAGAACTTTCGATGCCTGTACCATTTTTGCATTAGTATCATTGTGTGACAACTGACGGATTGTGCTACATTTTCCCGAATGTCGTTTCCCCGAATGTCACTTCCCCGAACGCCATTTTCCCGAATCCCAGACAAACATATACCCCATTTCCCCGAATGTCATTTCCTCGAATTCCATTTCCCGAATGTAATTTCCTCGAATGAAATCCAAAAATTCCAAAAATCCAGGCCTCCGTCGTTCGGTAAATTTTGAACTACAGAACTGTTCGGTAAAAGTTTAAAATTCAGTGAAAAATCCAATTATTAAAAAATTTATGCCGAACTTGTACAGAATTTGTTCAGTTTACCCCATTGATTGATGAAAAATAAAATTTATAAATTTTCTTGATTTCTCACGTGTAACGGTCATTTGAAAATTTTACCGAGTTATTCTGCTGTTCAAAAACCCGGTAAATTCCTACCGACTTCGGTGATCTGAATTAAGTGTGTACATTTCTAACGTTGGTTTCGCGAGCATTAAGAAGACATCTTTGAATATTGCAACAATTAACATTAAAAGAACAGCTCATAATTAAAAGAAGGGAAGATCTCTGTTCAAAGTAAATCAATGGGGCGAGAGTTTTAGTGAGGCGGCAGCAGTACCAGAAGTGGAAGTGTAAAAATTGGTAATATATATTTTTAGGACATTTTCCCTTATTTTATACATGAGCAGTTCTTTCGAGAACTTTGGCAAAACTAATATCGATGATTTGACAGATTGGTAATAAATTTTTAGGAGATTTTCCCTTCTTTTTAAATTTATTTAGGAAATTTTCAGCCGTAGACGTATTTTATCCTTCTTTTATAAATGTTTTTTCGACGGTTTGAAAAATTGGTAATGTATTTTGAGGAAATTTTTCCCTCTTTTATAAACGAGCAGTCTTCCAAGAACTAAGACAATATGTGAGGTCGATGGATTTAAAAATTGATAACATAGTTTTACGAGATTTTTTCTTTTATAAATTCAAATCGAGGAATTTGGCAAAACTTGTGAGATATATGATTTGACAAATGAATCGAGGAATGCTGTGAGTTTTACACTCACAACTACTGACAGCATAGTTAGACGAAATATAGTGGACGAAAAGTTAAACCGAAAAATAATGTATGCAGATTTCAACATTTTCATTAAATTTTCGTTTGTGGAGGCGAAACGAGAAAAAATATTTGGTAGGGGTGTTGCGACATAATATAAGCCACCTTCTGTACCATTTTTTTAAAGGGCCGGTTTTCTGCGTACAAAACAAATCGCCATAACTTCTGTTTATTACTGTCACCTGTTGAAATTTGGTTGCAATAATTTCCGAAACAAGTTTTGCTAAATTTTCCGAAAGAACTGCTTATGTAAAAAAGCAGGAATAAAAATATTTTACCCTTTTTTCAAACCATCGATCTCTCATGTTTTTCCAAAGTTCTCGAAAGAATTGCTCGTAAATAAAAGAAGGCAAAATCTCCTTAAAATTTATAACCAATTTGTCAAACCGACGATATTTTTTTGTTTTGGTCTGTCTTTTTGGTTTTGGATTATTATTCTATATATATAAAAATGAAAATGCTTTTAACGGCTCAATACATTAATATAGGGGAAAGAGGGGCATAGTGAGCATCATGTGCTTTGGCAATGCGTTTCTAGCTACTCGAAGCAAATTAATTGGTAGTTGGGTTAATCTCATAAACCTTCCATTTGCATGGCGTGAAATTTAATCTGGTTTGCAATCTGCTCACTATGCTCAAAATATAGTAAGAAAATTGCCAGCAATAACGGTTGGAAATTTACTAACTTTTATTTCGGGGATATGGCATTCGGGGAAATGACACATTCGGGGAAACAGCATTCGGGGAAATGGGTATTCGGGGAAATGGCGTTCGGGGAAGTGACATTCGGGGAAACGACATTCGGGGAAATGGTGCACAATCCAACTGACAAGTACAATCATACTTACGAGATGAACTAGCCAACGAGCTAAAAATCTCGCTATAAAGTATAAAAAACAATCATACACTATGTCCACAGGGCCAATGAGATCAACCCAAATTTAAGTTCAATTTACTCATAATTGCAAAAAGTGCAGAAACTCATCGATGAGTAAATTTGACTCATGTTTTCATGTGAAAAACCTCAAAAATCTGCAGGAAAATGAAGAAAATTGATGAACATTTTACTCAGTCTAGGAGTAGTACTAATAGGCTGAGAGAATCCAATCTTTACTTTTCTCATATTCGGGATTTTTTTCCTAGAAAAACATAAAGAAAATTTACTCATCGCTGTGTTCCTGCACTTTTTGCGATTTTTGGGCCGATCTCATTGGCCGTGCAGGGAAGTTGAAATCTTCCAACCCGAAAAAAAATCCTAGATCGGACTGGAATCGAACCCAGTCACCTCCGGTATATTTAGACTTTTTTGTAGCTGCGCCTTTACCGACTGAGTTAGATCGGTGCGCCGATCAACATATGTTCGGCGGCGGCGTGAGTTTATTTAAAAAAAAAATATTTTCAAAACCAATCGCACATGGATAAAAAATGCTACCCACATTTGAGTTCAGATTACTCAAAATCGCTCAAACTTAGGTCAATCATAATGAGTAAATTTTCCGAAACTCTCCCGGGGAATATGGGGATAATTTTAAGTAAATGCTACACAGGTTAGAAGTGTACTAGTAGACCGACTAAAACCAACCGGTGAAAACTAACGATTTTAAATTGACTCACTACTTGACTAGCCTATTGGCACAAACGAAGTGACAGACGACTAACTGGCGAAAAAATCAATTAAAATAATGTGGTTCGCTGTAATAGAATTTTCTTAAAAGCTTGTGCCATCATGCACCAGATGGGCTAGCATTTTTGTTTTGATTTAAACAATGTTGATTTTGTGTGCAATGATCTTTGACAGTGTGCAAAGAGTGTATCATTTTGTCATTTTGCATTTCAGTTTTGAGTAGAGTTAAAGAGATAGAACCAAAACATACTAGTACATTTAGTGTTGCCATGTGATTCAATCCAGCAGTATCATAGAGGTAACTCTAAGACCAGAAGGTTCCGAAGAAACGTGCTCAACTTTTTGGCTCAGCTCTACACGAAACGAAAATTAATTATTTAATTCATGTGTTTCACTTATACATTTTTGCCAAAGCATCAGCCTTATACATTCCATAAGAAAAACCACATAGGTCCTATTAGAATGCATAAAAGGTATGTGTGACCGCTTATACATTTCATTTGACACATGATCTTTATTAACTTTTTGCAAGGCGTCTGCTTATTAGTTGACTTATACATTTTATGAATAATCAGCAATGGAAATTTGCCAAAAGGTATAAGGAGATTTCTATCCGTGTAGTACTATCTTCGGTCCCAAGCTAATCGATGCACCCCTCGAAATATAAGGAAATCCACGAACCCCTCATTTTATCTGTCAAACTTTCAAAGCTAATCAAAACAAACACAGTGTAGTACTAGAATTTCGTCTAGAATGGGGTACGTTAATCGATTTGCTTGGGACCAATAGGCTAGTCAAGTAGTGAGCCTATTTCAAATCGATAATTTCGTATTGATTGTTGGTAGTATTGTTGCCATGTGGTACACTGAAAAATTGCAATAGCAGGTTTGTCACCAAAGTTTTCGAGCCGTCTGTCACTTCGTTTGTGCTATTGGTCCCAAGCAAATCGATTTACGTACCCCATTCTAGTCGAAATTCTAGTACTACACAATGTTTGTTTTGATTTGCTATGAAAGTTTGACAGATATGAGGGGTTCGTGGATTTTCGTATGTTTCGAGGCGTGCATCGATTAGCTTGGGACCGAAGACAGTACCAGATCTGAGCCAAAAAGTTGAGCACGTTTCTTCGGTACCTTCTAGTCTTAGGTTACCTCTTTGCTAAAACCACAATCAGTTTTCCTCATATTCGAGAAGTTTTCCTCGGAAAAGCGTCGGAAAATTTACTCATTCTATGAGTGACCTATGTTTTCGCGAATTTGAGTAACCTGGTTTGGTTTTCGCTTTAACAGTACGTGTGGCTCAAAATAGGTTAGTTTACTCATCCCTTACCCTAGACTCTAACTTAAATCTGGACTGTCTAATGCTTCTAGTTGCTGAAGTACACATCTTAATAGTAGATTAGGTTTGTTACAAGTTGAAATTACTTCTTCTTCTTCTTCTTTAATTTATTTATCGTCACTCTCTGTTCCGTAATAACACACAACCACCGCGGTGCACCGCGTGTTCACGTGATTTCTGTTGTTGCTACGCTAATCGTGAACGCATTGCATCTGTTACTGATGATCTAACATCCGGTACCTATATCTGACTGGGGGGGGACGTACTGTCAAATCAGCCTACTGATCATCTTGTATGAAACTGGTTCCAAACGTAAACAAACGCTGTAGGTTTCTTATGGCTTGTTTACGTTTGGAACCAGTTATGCGAGGTAGGCGACGATTGTTCGTATTTGACAGCCACCTCCCCCCCTTGATATCTGACGAACGGCATGAAAGTGAGCTTTAAGAGGTACTGATCGATGCTTGCGTGTAAATTTTTGCTGATGAATCATATCCACTTAGTAACAACACATCTTTATTTTGAAGCGAGCCAATCAAAAGATTGGCACTTTAATGGCAACCTGTGCTAGTTGGAGAAGAACAACAGCAAGAGCGGTAGAGGGGAAAAGTGCATTGGTATAGAAAACGCAAAAAATAAGTCATGCCATGAAAATTGCCGTCGAAGCAAACGTGACATCAATTAAAATTAAAGTAGATTAGATGCTCTAATTTGTGGAAATGATGAAAGATTGTTCTCGATGAGATTATTTTATACTACTGATTTGAGTCTGCAGGAAATAAGTAATTATAGACATGAATAAGCAGGCAGAGAAATTGTGGATTCTAGATTTGCCACATTGTTTCACTCAACTACTTACATAGAATGTGATAAATGTCTTTTGTCATGAAGAATGTAGATTTACAAGTATCACGCATAAATTATTCACTTGAATAGGTTTTACCAATGTCACCGTCACCATCATTCAACCCAGCATCATTATTATATACGTAGACATTAGATTCTTTTGATTTTTCACAAAACATATTGTACTTTTTATTTACAGGAAAAACAAAAAATCAGCTTCATCGATGCACAAAACCAGGCACATGCCCCTCACGGGGAAATATTTGCAGTTAAAGTATTCGCTCCCCTACTATTTTTTTTACCAGTTGAAGCTAATTACGTTTACCAACCGCGCGAAATTGAATTCAACTCGTTAGGTCCGCCAAAATAACACATTGAATAAACCACCCGAGCGACAAAAGTGCAGTGCGCCACAACCGTGTATTGCCCAGAAGTAAAAACAAAAAACAAAAACATAATTTAATAAATCAATCCGCGTTAATAGGCGATAGTAGTGGCAATTTGCAAGCGCGCTTTGCACGGTACGACGAACCGCTTCTGTGACAGTTGTGTATCATATTTTATAGCCGACATCATCCCACTCGACGAGACTCCACCCGACCAAAGTCGAGTATCAAAATTAAAGCAAATTGAAATCAAAATTTGATATCAGTTTACGATTAGTTACAAAATATTGTTTTCGTTTTGCTGAGTAAGATAGGAAAATTTAACGATTTTTGCTCTCACTCATGTGTAAACGAGTATTCAGTTTGCTTTCAATGAGAGCAGAACCAGTACTTCATTAGATATTTTCGGTGGATTTTTTTTGCCAAAACGAGAGCAGCCTGAGTAACATCACAACATCAAATTTAGTTTTCGATTTGATCTCAGACTCGGCTCAGGTACCGCTGCTGGCCTCCGAGAAGCGTTCGCAGGAGGTTTTGATGCGAGAATCTCGTGCCCTATCCCGTATTTCGCACAATTGAATTGAGAGGTGAATATTTGATCAAACTGGATTTACCACCGCACGAGGTGCGCGGATTTGTGTGCAAATACACATCGTCGAAGTCTCCTGCTAGCAGGTAGCAACGTGCCACTCATCGTTAGAGCTTGCGGTTGGCATTATGTGTGGTTTATCGACAATAGCTTTTGAAAATGTAAAGCATTCTACCCAGTACCCACTGCTGTTGAAAGTATGTAGATCACTTATTTTTCGATCATCATTTTCAGGAGATTCTAGAATAGTTATTCTTTATAGTGGCCTGCAAAAGACACAAAAGTCAACCGTACTATATATATATATATATATACATATATTATACTCAAGTCATTAGCTCTCAAAGAGTTTTCCAAAGCAAGGCACTGTATTTGTCTGTAAACAATGACTGTCATATTAGGAGGCTTATCAAAACTGGTACTAAGTACATGAAAGTAAAGCATTAAATGAAAGTTAAGTCGACAACAAAGAAACATCACACGCTGTCGAAAATTGTAGCATCACAGGAAACAATCTCACCAATAATATTGCTAAAGTTGGTCGATTCATAAATGTTTTGTCAAATCTTCAGCAAATATACATTAACACAATAGAAAACAGAGATGTTCTCATCGCTGAGCGTAAATAATTTTATGATGTTTGAAATACACTGCACATCGTTAAGTTCAATAGCAAACAGATAAACAAACAGTAACAATGTCCAGATTTTGTTTCACCGAACTGAAGTTTTATTATACGAAAGAAAATGCCTTCCACATTCATTTGCAAATTGGTTTATCGCAAATGTTTAAAGAAATCCAACATAAATTTACAGTACAGGGTTCTGATGAATGTGGGCGTCTAAGTGGAACACCTGTTTTTGTTTTCCGTCGATCTTGTTAGTACCAATGCTACCGACGCCAGGGAGGCAGCTCCCACACCTGGAACCCTACCCCTATCGACCCATCAAACTCATGTCTCGGGGACAAACGGCTTTACTTCCCTCAGATCAGAGATTTTATGCCTCAGAAAATCCAGGCGGCGTCGACTGGGATTGAACCCAGGCCCTTTGCGGTGAGAGACAATCACGCTTACCACTACACCACCGGCGCCGCTTAAGTGGAATACCTGTATAAAGAGAGAGAGAAGGACTAGTAATTTCCATTTAATTCCACTACCTTATTTGCTTATCCTTGACAGATACGCGTATTTCGTCTACAATGTGCAGACTTCTGCAGTGTCTTGTACTAATACTCGACTGAAGAAAACATCGCAACTTGCCGAGTATATATTAACCTAGCAGGGCTGGCAAATGTCATTTTGAATGAAAGATCTCACGCGATATTTACAGAGATACTTCTGTCACTATCATCGGATGAGAAAACGATGATAGAGATTTACTTCAAAATCTCATCGATTTTGTTGTCATGACAGAACGTGACAGTGTTGTTATCATCGCTATTACTAGCTCATTTATTGATATTATTGTTACTTGTACAGCGGAAATCTTAAAAATATATTCACTCTACCGATTACATACAGTTGCTTGCCTTAATTTATCTACATCAGTTAGAAATCTTGATCTCAAAGCCGTATGACAATTATTCTCATGAATGCTAGATCATTGGAAAATGACAAGAAATCTCATGATAGGTAGTTTCGTCTCGTGATACACAGCAAAAAAAGTTGTTGAATATTACATCGAAACTGCTGCAACCAGGTCAATCCATCGGTTGTGTAATATCACATTGTACGATGTACATCGATTTTGCGAACAAAATTACATCCATTGATGTTATATTGTATCTGCTTTTTGCTATTACATCATTATTTCGTACATCAGCTTGAATTACGTTGATCGATATTACATTTTTTTTTGCTGTGTAGTGTGAGGGTCTGTTTTCTCATTGTCACATGACGGTCGTGATATTTACCAGCTCTGACCTAGGTACATTTTCACATCATCGTTTCATAAGGAAGGTACGAAATCACCGCGGTGGTTGAGTGGTTTTGCGGAACAGAGAGTGACGATAAATAAATTAAAGAAGAAGAAGAACAAGTAATTTCAACTTGTAATAAACCTAATCTACTATTAAGATGTGTGCCTAAGTAACTAGAAGCATTAGACAGTCCAGATTTAAGTAAGAGTCTAGGGTAAGGGATGAGTAAACTGACCTATTTTGAGCCACACGTACTGTTAAAGCGAAAACCAAACCAGATTACTCAAATTCGCGAAAACATAGGTCACTCATAGAATGAGTAAATTTTCCGACGCTTTTCCGAGGAAAACTTCTCGAATATGAAACTGACCTATTTTGAGCCACACGTACTGTTAAAGCGAAAACCAAACCAGATTACTCAAATTCGCGAAAACATAGGTCACTCATAGAATGAGTAAATTTTCCGACGCTTTTCCGAGGAAAACTTCTCGAATATGAGGAATTGTGATTGTGGTTTTAGCAAAGAGGTAACCTAAGACTAGAAGGTACCGAAGAAACGTGCTCAACTTTTTGGCTCAGCTCTGGTACTGTCTTCGGTCCCAAGCTAATCGATGCACGCCTCGAAACATACGAAAATCCACGAACCCCTCATTTTATCTGTCAAACTTTCATAGCAAATCAAAACAAACATTGTGTAGTACTAGAATTTCGACTAGAATGGGGTACGTAAATCGGTTTGCTTGGGACCAATAGCTCTGAAGAAATGCCAAAAATATAAGGTTATACTTATAAGGCATATGATTAAGGTACGGACAAGGCGTAGTAAAGAGGATGGAAACAGAGTTCATCAATGATAGCCAGTCTTCACGTAAACATGCACGGCGCTGAGCGTGAGTTCAAATTTCAGAAGTACAAGTTCATTCAGAGCGCGTGTTCTCTCTCAGGCTCATGTTTTACACACGCACATCGAACTTGAGAGAAATGAACAACACCTGGGGATGAGCGCAGCGTAAATGAACTCAGGCTTGATGTTTCGTGCTTGCGCCTGTGCTCGAACATCGAGGTTGCACTCGGAGGTTTTACGTGAATGGTTGGTTGGTGTTGGCGAGTGACTAGATGTTAATTGGGGTTTAACGTGTGTAATTTAAATAGAAATTTTATCCGGTTTTGCGACAATCTTCAACACCAATATCTTTCTGACTGCACGCAGTTGCCAGTAATTCCATTAATTAAAGATTGCTTTTAAAAGACTTAAAGTCAGTCAAGCATTGCGCAATGTTTATAATGCAGTTCAATTTTAATTTAGAAATAAATTGATTGATAAAGGAAGTGGACGCAGTATTCCGAAATAAAGGAATGTCGGACAAAAGCTGCACACAAATTTGTAAAATGGTTGATGGGTTTTTTCTTCTTCTATTATTGCTAAGTAATATGCTCATTTTATAGTTTCTATTGGTGGACGCTTGAGCTTTTCAACATTTATATCGCTGTGAAGCAACTGTAAACTCTAGAGGGAATTTATATCTGTAACTGAAACCAGTTCGATTTTGTTTGCCAACCTGGTTAAAATGTCATATTTAATTATCTTAAAGATAAATCGTCCAGCTCAAACCTTTGTAGGGGTAAGAGGTGGGACCATCATCATCATCATTTATTTAACCACATAAAAAATAAAACAACAAATCGAATCTATCAATTGAAAATCAAAATAACAAATAACGACTGAACCGAATAGTCAACAGCATTTGTGAGGACATTCGCAGCCAATGTTGCTCCAGCTTGATTGTCGAGAAGCACCGCTCAACTGAAACTTGCGTAGCTGATGCGGACAATACAATCATTGATAGAGCATACAAATCTTCTTCTTTTTCGCATTCCAAGCAACCTTGTGTTCTAAATGCATTTTTATAGTTATTAATTTTGAGGTTTAGATGCCAGTCCCACTAACATTTCGAGAATTTTCGCAACTTAAAATAACATGCTGTTCTTTCCATAAAATAAACATAACGTATATAGTGCAAAATTAATTATAACTATGGAAACAAATAAGCAGGTGCTGAAAACATTTAGAATAATACCAGGCTATCTGAGGCCCCTGCAGTCACTGTGTCTCAACTGGTATAGCATAAGAATGTTATATGTTTGCCTCCGTAAATCGATGTTCCTACGTACCTCGATGGTTGTATATGTCATTAAAATAAGTATATCCATTCACACAAGAAATATATAGTGAATTTCAAATAAGTCTGACCAAAATACAAATACGACCTATAAAGAGCTTTCTTATATAAATAAGCATTCTTACAGAAATCACCCCCATCAAGAAATTGTGCGAACAATACAACACAAAACTTTTTTTTTAGTTGCAATTTACTTTGAGAATTTTTGGATGGAAATGGCTGCCAAACGACGTAGTGCACGGATCATTACACTAAATATGCTTCTGCTGAAACCTATATTTTTTTAACTTAACAGTCTTACTTACCAACGATTACTTCTTGTGATAAAAGATTGTTTGGTTTATTTCCTTTAAATTCCGTTATAAATGCTTATCTATTGACAGATACGCGTATTTCGTCTACTACTTGGGGACTTCATCAGTTGTTGAGTACTTGGCACTGAGGAAGTCTGCAAGTAGTAGACGAAATACGCGTATAACGGAATTTAAAGGAAAAAAACCAACCCACTCAAAGCTCTTCATAAAGGGATTCCGTTAAGAGGTTCGACAAATTTAAAAGATATCTGAATAGGTAACGCTACTGAATCACCACTAAAATATTTCGCGTTCGTCACACACACCACACGTTTACTCGAAAACAAAATGTTGAAAAAGAAACCAGCGTCTGCGCTTGGGTGTAAACATTGATGTTCGAGCGCTGAAGAAAACGAAGTGCGCGCATGAACTTTAAACATACGATCGGGCTCATGTTCATTTGGCTGGGTGCATGCGTGAGCACAGAATGAATGTTCTTGTGAGTACGAAAACCTATTTGCTCACAAGCGCGATGCTGCACCTTGAAGACTGATGATAGCATAAGACGACTATATAGCAAACTGGAAATGAAGATTTTGGATTGTTATTCTCTGCATCTCAAATTGGCCAAGGAGTATCTAGTATCAATTAAATTCCAAGAGTTTCTGTCTGGGGCCAAGGTAGCAGAGGAGTACGAATCGTATAGGAAACAGAAACTGCACGATGGGAAGCTAAACAGACTACGACACGAGTCTCAACGGACAAGGACGACACACCGAACGGGTGAGCAGATCCCAACCCACGACGCCGAAAGTTCATTCCATTGATGGTTTGGTTGTCAAGCGATCGACGACCGCATTCACGGAAGAACAAATTGAAACACCTCAACAAGTGG